ATATCCCAGCGATTGCCTTTGGCTGGGCGAACGCATGTCCTGCTGGCCCCGCGCGATGGCGACATCCTTATTTGCATGGCCAGTGGATGGCCCGCAGGAAATGTCCGGCAATGAGGATGCAGTAACAACCAGCAGAACAACAACTACCTGCTGTGTAGTTGTCGTCCTTCGCGGAGCAAACCGGAAGTAGTCAAGGCTCAAGGTGCAAAACAACAAACAGCAGCAGCAAAGGCAGCAGCAGCATGTGGATGATGGATGGAGCCGCCACTCAACTGCACCCAAAGAAAACGAACTCAAATGCAATATTTGATTCGAAGGAAAACTGATTTTCATTATGGAGGCTTAAAAATCATTTATCTACTTTTAATTCAAAATCGTTTTCCTTTACCTTCTTATTTTGATCTCTTTAACATGCACACCTATTTTTCTTAGTGTACATATTCCATTCGATTTGCCAGCACGCGTAATTTGATTCGCGCTCATAGAAAGTAAAGGACTCAGTTGGACTCCCGCACTCGGAAGGAAGTGGCCCAAGAAATTCCCACGAATTTTGCTTAAAGTTCCTTTTTGGTCCTTTTCCACTCTTCCAGTTTCCGGTTTCTGTTTACGCGAAACTTTTACGCATTCGCCTTGAATGCTGATGGCGATCTTTGGACGTGGTCATGAATGAAACGGGTTGGGATGGGTTCCATAACAGGATGTTTATCGCCAGTGGTCCAGCTGATGGGCAAGGACATGCCGCTGGAATTCCAGGAATCGCCATTTGAATGAATAAAGTGAAGGAGTGTATGTGTGTGTGTGTTAGTATGGGGCAGAATCCTTTCGATTCCACGAACCAAAGCTGCAAAAGTTTTCAGGATTATTTCCTACTTAGATTAGGGTCAGAGGATATTTTATAAATTTTTGCGCGCTTTTTTGAGATCTTTAGAAGACTGCTAAATTGCGGTTCAATTTTTCATTTTCTTTCCTAAAAAGCAATCTTAAATAAGTTTGATTTCCCAACCTCAAAGGCAAAACAAATAGTGATTCCTAAAGATATTTCCATTGGCTTCCCCACCTGTGATCCCCATCGGAATTAGATTAAATAAGCAACCCCTTTCGGAGATTATGTTTGCTCCCAGGACTTCCCACGCTAATCAACTTCCGTTCCATTCCGTTTGCATGAGGATCCCCTCCCAGTCAGAAACCGAAAGATATTCCCACAGATGAGATGTGCAAGAGGACAAAGGTAAAGATTATGCAATGCACCTGATCCACCCTCGCATTCGGCGATCCTTGATTTGATCTGACCCTCTTCGTTCTCGTTTGTTTTTTAGCAAACAGGGTGCTCCGAAGGATCCAGAGGCGCGTTTCCGTTCTCAGGCCCAAGAAAGATTTCCGATAAGTTTTGAATTCAATAACAAAGAGACAGCAACTGCTGCGGTTTCGCCTTCAACTGCTGCTACTGCTGTTGCTGCTGCTGCTGTTGCTTCCAATTAAGCGAAAGTCGAAGATTTCTGCATCTAACAAATGGCAAAGGATTAACTAGACAGCTGTTGTTGTGCAAAATCTCCTGATATCCTGAAAACCCAACACAAAAAAATTCACACGGAAGTGAAGTTCGCATCTTGGAGTGGCGACACCTCCACCATCAACCTGAAACAGTAAAAACTCAAGACATAAAAATCTGAAAAACATAAGAACGAAAAGCAGCTGTTTTTTCTGAGCTGCCTGGGAAGAAGAGGTTTCGAGTCCTTTTTCTGGATAGATATCCCGCAGGATCCTCTAGGCTATATATCGTACATGTACCTGCTGCTGAGAGTCTGTGGGAAGCGCACATGTTCGTCCTTCGGTTTTTATCCTCATGAGATGACTCGATACTCGTTTTGAGGTTTCCAGTTTTTGATTTTCAGTTTTCTGTTTCCCGATTTCCCGTTTGTGTTTTGCATGAAATCGAATTTTTCGTCTCAAGGTTTCCTATTTACGGTTCTGTTACATTTGCATCCTGTGTGGGAAAAATCGGATGGGAAATTTTCTGGGACAGCACCTGCTAAGGAAAAGTCGAGACTCTGCTTTTGGAATGATTGTTTCTGGAAGATATGATAGCAAGAGAAGTGAAAAGGTAAGTTTAACCTTACAAATTAATAACAGTTATTAATTTAACTTAAATTAGCAATACAATTATTAATGGAAAGTTGAGCTTTAAAAGCTTTCTGCAGCGTTAAAAACTTTGTAAATTACCAGTTCCAAGAGCTAGTTTGATGTTGTTTACTTTCATTAATGCTTTTATAATAAAAAATTCATATCATCAAGAGACCCACACATTCTTCTCTTGTTTATTTTTATTAAAAACCCTTTTCGATAACAAGCTCAGCAATTAAACGACACATGCCACCGTATGAGTATGGGCAACAGGTTGCAATTGATCGTTACATCATCCATCTGAACTATAAACAGATCATGAGCGACGCACGCTCCACTCCATGTTCCGCCTCCAGATCTTAACAAGATCCCCGCCAGCCGTTGCTCCTCTTCAGATCCCAGTCAGTGTCACAGGCCACGCGACTAATTTTCAAGTTTTTCGGCCAAGTTAAGAAAAAAAAAAAGAAAAAAAAATGGTATATCTGTTGGGCAAAATATATATATAAAAACGCCAAAAAATATGCATAAAACACGGGAGGATCAGAGGAGATTTCGAGGGGAGTAGCAAGATCCCAAGAAGAGGCTGCAAAGTGAAAGATGTTGCTTGTTTGCTGGTGGACTTGGCCAAGTACATGACCCCAATTTCTTTGTTGTTGCTGTTGCTGCCTTATTATTCAAACTGCACGGCGCCCTTCGACGGGTTAAGGGGGGCCCGTCGAGGGGTTAAAGGGGGAAAGGGTCCACGCAAAAAAAGAATGGATGATGTATGTTGCGCTTTCAATTTGGAGCAGCAGGACATCTGTTTTTCGGGAGATGGAGCTCTCTTGGCTCTCAGTTACCTGCCGACTGCTAACCGGTTTACAGGTGCTAACTTGGCTTCAAAAGATGCAAGGGGTTAGGTGGTGGGACGGGGATAACTTCAGGGGGTTAAACTGGCAAACACAGCGAGATCGAGAGGCTGCCGTTTGGCTTTGCCCCACAGCCTGCAGGTTTTTCTTCTCCTTGCTCCTTTTCATTTCAGTTTTTTTTTTCGTATTTCGCCGTTGCCGTTGTTTGATCATAAATTTGTGTTTAATTTAAAAACTTTTCACTCTTCTCGGGGCTTGAAAACTCCCGGTGCGCGTACTTTACTGTCAAATTTATTGCGCGAAATATATTTTTGTTTAAATATTGCAATTACAGTTGGACATCTTTATGATGAACTTAATTTTTTGATGTCATGAACTTTTATAGAAATATTTTAAAGGCTTAAAAGAAGATGCTAATTAGAGATTAATGTTTAATAACACCGATTTAAAGCAAGGCTATATTCCACCTCCGCTATAATCAAGATTTTATAACATTTCTTTTTAACTTATTAGTGGGACATCAGATAAGCCATCAAATAAATTAAATTACTAATTTCTGGTTAGTTATAAAGAAGCTCCACTGTATAGGAAATCCATGGCGGGCACTTGAAAGTCTGGCGGGAGAAATTTCGGGTCTTGGTCCTCGTTTCCTTGTAAAATTAGGTGTTGACTTGATTGGTTTCGTTTTCTGGACTTTCTGTGGCCTCCTCTTGGTCTCATGCATATGCAAATGTCCCTCCGCTCGATGGAAATTAATGAAGACCGATTTTTATTGTACAAATTTCAACAACTTTATTTCGCGCCAGGAGAACTCTGGTCATGTTCTTCTTGGCCCTTTTGCCTTATTTAACCCATTTATCAGGCATTTTCAATGAATGGATGTTATCAAGTGATTTACAATGTTTGACCAAGAAAGCGAATCAAATTAATCTTGTTCTTTTCGGAAAGTGATTGGGTTAATTTTTAACGAAAGTTCGAACGAAAGACCACCAAAGTCTCTAATGATCTTTTTGGCTTTTCTTTTTAAGCATTAACATTAACATTCAAAAGCAAATAATTAGAGAACTGGATATCATTTTTAGTCATAATCCTAGATGATTTCGATGATAAGTTATGCTTAATGGAGCTTTACAAGACTAATCTGATCTCTTGATATGCATATATAATTTTCCTATAGCCTTTTTTAAGGATAGCAATGATGGCTTCCGAAACTCAAAATAGGTTTCAGATTCCATGTCCTGGATACGTTTAATTTCTGGTAGAATATAATACTTTGGCGCCAAAATACCCGAATAATATGGAAAAATTCACGGGATTTTAGCTATTAAGGCTCTTCCAACGACTTATTTTCATCGTGAAGCTGATTTAGAAATTAGACTTTCTCTCACATTGTCATTAATATGCCTAAAACGAGTGACATTTTTATTAGATCGGCAGATCGACTCGAAGACTTTTTGACAGAATCAAAAAATTTCCCTTGGCACTAAAGATTTCTAAGAATTTACCCTGGCACCTTTATCAAAAGTTCTAGACTCTATATTAACTCATAGTAAAAGTATATAAAAATAAAATAAAATAAATTCATATTAAAAAATTGATCTATGTTTTATTATTAATCATACATATTATTTTATTTATTATACATTTATCTTATAATTTCCCTACTCAACAAATGTAGTAGACAAGCTTGCAACATTTCCTTTCAACAATGTTGCAGCAACATTTGTCCATCTGCCGCGGAAATACACTAAATTTGGACATGAAACTCGTTCTACAAAGCAGCTGCGCCATCAACTACATTAGCCAGAGCGAGAGGGCAACACAGTCTATCTCGCACCCTTAGACCAGCTAGAGAGCAGACGGCAATTTGGAGAGAGCGCGAGAGTAAGAAGTGCAACGCGCTCGCTGTGCAACAGAGTGAGATGCAGCTAGGCGGCAGAGAGTCCATCGAGAGAGCGTGAGAGCGCGAGAGCAAGAGAGTGGTATATTTTAGTAAACTATAGGGGACTTGAGTTTCGGCTTGGGACCTTAACGGCATTACGTTTTTCAACTCGGCCGCGAAAATACATCAGCTCCCGAAGGCTAAGCTACTCCATGTATTGAAAAACACAAGTCCCGCGATTCGCGACTAAAACCATTCAGTGTGTGACGCGAACTGCCAAACAAAATATACAAAAATATATATATTGCAGTTTTCAACGAATTATTGGCAGTTCTTATTTAAAAAAAATTTCAAATATACACAAAAAAGTGCCAGAACCAAGAATCAAAATAAATGATCTTTTAAAAGAAGAATAATACAAAAGTGTTTCCGAAAAAAAAGCAAAAGAAAACGCAAGCACCGTTAGTTCCCTCTCTCGCTTTTCCCTTTTGCGCTTTTTTGCGTGAAAAGGAGAAGAAACGCAAATCGCGAATAAATATCTATATAAAAAAAGCTACAATTTTCGCGACACTTAAAAATAAACACACACTCGAGGAAATTTACAACAAAAAATGTGGCGCGTGCACGTGTAGCTTGCAACAACAACAAAACAGCGAAAATGCTTAAAGCGAATTGCAAAACCATGTGCGACAAGTAACCAAAAAATATTAACAAAAAATTAAATACGAAACATAAATACAATAAACAATTTGAGTAGTTGCCGCACACACACACACACACACAGCCCGTGGATTATTACACTAAAAGCGACACTCAATCCACAAAAAACCAGCCACAAAAATCATCAATAAACATGCATTGGATTAAATGTTTATTAACGGCATTCATTTGCTTCACAGTCATCGTGCAGGTAAGTCTAAGTCAAAGGAAAATACTTCAATTTCCTCCCAACAAGTTGTATTTTTGGCAGTTTCATGTTATTTTCTGCGCACGCGTGCAGTTATCACTTCATTTTTGCAGCCGTGTGCCCATGTGTGTGTGTCTAAAAAGGAAGACACGATTAGAGCTTTAGGGTTGTCAGATGTTCAAAATATTTCACCTAAAACATGCAGCTATTAAAATGATCTCAAATGATCTATTTTTGGCAGCACTCTACAACACTCATTTGCCCTAAATTCATTTCATTTCAAACGCTTGTAACTTGAGAACTTTTGGGTTAGAAACAGCTGAGCTGGTATTTTAGGCGGGTTGGCTTTTAGGGGTGGAATTTGTGGATCGGATCATATCACCCCTTTTCGGAATATACATATTTCATAGATAAAAACTAGTTTGGAAAACAAGGCGAGGCCAATGGCCAAACAGGTCCATCCCCAAAAAATTGTTGAATACCTAAATGCACAGCGGAAAAATATCAAATATCAGATGAAAAGGTTTAAAAACTTTTTGGCATATCAAAAAATGCTGATCGCATTGGAAATTTTAATTTAACTTATGATGTTTAGCTGGAAAACTCTCTAAAAATATAGTACATCTGTTTGAGACTTTTAAACAACCTATAACTAAAAATCTTTTTATTCTGAGTTACCATTCTTCTATAACTATTTCTTAGATCAACATTTTGAATAGTTTTTTTGTAAATTTTTCTGTGCAAAAAAAGAGATTATCAAAGTCTGCCTCAACATCAAAATTACCACCAACGGCGTATGCCTCTTGAGCAGCAGCAGCAAAAAAATTATAAAACCGCTCGATTTCAATGTGAGGCTATATAGTGTATAGTATAGTGCTGCAAGCCGATGTTAAAAAGTTGATGATGCTGGGCAACATCTGCCGTTCTCGCTGTCATCTCCAACTCCTCCTCCTGCTGCTTTATCCACCTCTTTTCCCTTCGCTTTGCATGCGCTTTTTACATGCGATTTTTTTCGGTTTACTTTACGCTCTGCGTAGGTCAACGCGACACATGCTCAGCTTCACTTGCTCTCCTCCTTGCGTTTTTTTTCTTCCATGCTTTCATTGATCTTTGACGCGAGCATCCCCTGGTTACACGGTTCAAAAATATAGTTTATTCAGTGGTGTCACCTTGGAAATAATCTTTAAGATTAAGCTTATAGATAGGTAGTTGCTGAATCATCTAATTTTCAAGTCTTAAATCTTTCCCATTTTATTCTTATCTCAAGTTTACTCATATTATAATTCCTTATCGATAGTGTCAACCCTTTATTTAACGTGCACATTGCATGTGCTCTTATCCACCTTCACTCTCTCCTCACTTCTCCTTTTTGTTTTTGTCCAACTTTGGGACGTTGCGTGCTTTAAGACTTCACTCTTCGACCAGCTTCTCTTTTTTCGCAGTCCTTTATTTAGTCGCTAATTTTAACAACGTTCCAAAAAAGTGTCTCGACGCCAACCTCCTGGGGTCTTAAGACTGCTAAAAAAAGAAAAAAGAAAAAAAAGAGACCCCAACATATAGGAAACATCTGTCCCATAATGGATCCCTAAACTGTGACTCATTTCCCACTGAGAACTAAAGGTGGAATAGTTTAATTTGCCATTTAAAATAATATCTCGGGCAATTAGCCTGGCCATTAGCAAAAAGCAATTTAATTCAATTTTCCGTGTATTCTATAATGTTGAATTTATTCTCACAATTTTGCGACCCTTCCTTGTCCCAAGCAGAAAGCAGCAAGCAGCGTTTAAATTTCAATTTAACTATCAAATAACCGTAGTCGCCTTGCTTTTGCATTTATGCAATTTTCATATTAACATTGAGCTTTAAAAGAATGGAAGTGAATGAATACGTGAACCAATGAATGAATGAATGAATGAAGAGTTGACGTGGGGGAGCTCTTCTTGGGATCTTCTACTCTTTCTTCGTATAACATAATTAATTGCAATTTAGAAGGCAAAAGAGGAAGACGACGACTACTCCCACACAATGCGATGATTCACTTGCGCTTGTAACTGTTTCCCAAGCCCGTTGTTAACGGTTGATTATGATGATGAATTTAAATGATTAATAAACAACATATACAGTGTGGGGGCATCAAAGCAAACACCTGTAGGAAAGTCGAGGAAAAGTCGTGGAAAATTATAATAAAAATGCGTGCTTTCATACATTTTTATGTCCCCTTGTGATGTTTTTCGTTCCTTCTCTTTTTTTTACAACAACTGTCTGTCAGTCAAGGCAAGTTGACGTGGAAATGGCAAAAAAAAAAAAAGAAGAGAGATGAAGAACTAACTAACTAGTTGCTTCAAGCCTGAGTGATCGCAGTAAAAATAGGAGTAGTGGCCAGTAAAAAAAGAAAGACAAAAAAGAAAAAGAAATAGAGACAAAGAACGGCTCAAGCAAAAGGTAAACAATGCAACGCACTATTTTCTAACACTTTAACAAGTGTCTGTCTTCCATTTGAGAGGTTGGCAGTTCCAGCTTTCAAGTTCCACCAGTGGATCCCCCTTTTTTTTCTACCTTTCGGGTCTTCAGGTGTAGCGGAGTTCATAGTTGAAGGCAAAGGCAAATAAAAAACGGAAGAATAACCATTACAAAAGTGTACAAACATATGCCAAAGTAGATTGTGCAAGGTGTAACTGAATGTTCTCCAAGAAATTCCGAAAAGAGGTCAAGATAAGCTTAAATAATAAATTATATTCAATTATAATAAAATAAATATTTTAAATGAGATAAATAAAAAGTTTGAGCTTTAAAAAATATCTTCACAGCAGCTAAAACACCATAAACTTTTATTATTGTCGTTAAATCAAACTTATTTGCCAATAAAAATAACTAATATATATAAAAATGATCAAAGGCAATAAATTTTGTAATGCTTACTGATATTAACCGCATATTTTGAGGGACCTTAAAAAACAGTGTGAGAAACTATAAGCGAAATTGGTGTCAAATGCTGGACAAAACTATTGTGGTTTTAACGATTGCACTTTTTGTTTTGTTTTGACTTTTGCTTCCCACCATCTTTTAAAGTGTGTGAGTGTGTGTTTATGAATGTTTGTTTGGTGTTATGCAAATTGTTTTGTTTTTTTTGTGTGTACATGTTGTGTCAACTGCTGCGCCTTTGTTTGTGTTTAGTTTTTTGTTTTCTAAGTTTAGTTTAGTTTGGCTTTCCATTGGCCACGCCCCCGCCCCACCGCCTATCACCTTTCTAACCTTCCTTCCGCTCAATGGTTTTTATCCCTCTTTCTCTTTCTCTTTTTTTTATTATTTTTCTTTTATTAATTCAGACGCATCGTTTGGCTTGATTGTCTATTAATTCTTTTTTGCCTGCTTCTTATTCTTTCCTTTTTTGCGCATAATAATGCTCTTCTTCAAAGCGCCGTTGAAAACAAGTTTTTGCTCTCTCCCGCTCTCTTTGGAGCAGCTGGCAGCTGCAGCTTGTAAGCTTACACACACACACTAGCAAACACGCGACTCCAATTCACTTTTAAGTCACGCTTTGCTCTTTTTGCGCTCAGCTGACAACAACAACTACCGCTTCAGTTCTCTCTCTCTCCCTGTGTGTGCTAAACTGTTATAGCTTTGGGGCCTCTCTCTCTTCCTCTCTCTCTTTTTTAACCGATCTTTCAATATGGCTGCATGCACTGCTCTTCTTCACCTGGCGTTTATTCGCTTACACCTTTTAACTGCTGCTCTCTCGCTCTCCGTCTGTTCTCTCCCTCCGCCGCTCCCTCGCTAACGCTGTCTCTTTCCCTCGTTTTAACCATCAATGTTGACCGGCAAAATCGTATGCCGTGGGAAACAATTCGGTTTTACTTGTACATTTTTTCATCGTTTTTCTCTGACGTCGAAGTCGACGTCGCTGCCTGTTGCTGCTGCTTCTTTTATTTAAGTTTTTTTTCTACGCTTTGTTGTTTTTGTTGTGCTGCTCTTTTGCGTCCGTTTTGTTTTTGTTGGCTGCTTATTAATACATGCACAGGAAAAAATGAGATTAACTAGATGCTTACTATTTCTTATAAGATTTTGATATGTGTATATGATTTAATAATAGGGATTAAATTTACCTTGGTTGTAGTAAAACTTTACCAAAAATATATAATCCCTTTCTTACAACTCGAAACTTAATTAATCATTGGAAGACATAAACTTTTCTTACTGTACATTTTCTTATTTTATGCCCGCGTTCGTTTCCTAAGTCTTTCGTTTTGCCGTTTACATTCGTTGAATGCGTCCTCTTATTCGCTCCAAATTCCCTTACAATTACAATTGGAAAAGCCTTTGAACAATGTTAGCGCCAGCTTTGGGTCTATTTTTCCGGCTGGGATTACGATTACACCTGTGTGATTCGACACAGCATCTCTGGACCGCACTTCTGCTTAATTGAGCAATTAAACACCCGTGTTCCTACATAAAGGCGAAGAGGAAAACCCACAAAACTTCCCAAGCCACATGTGGAGCACTCGACAATAAATAAGCAAGTAAGAGAGACGGCGACTCACTGCTGTGCTGTGCTGCTCATGTCTTGTTAACAATTAAATTGTCGTTTTAACAAGCTTCACTTGTTGTGGCTGAAATGTTAATTGCCGAACAGTTATAGAAAACGGAGCAATAACTCCGCGGAGAGCCTATTTTTGGGCATTGGTCGGTTGTTTCGCCCATTTATGGGGCCAGATGATGAAGTCATAATTAAGTTTTAAGTGCCAAGTCCAAAATGAGGTGTAATGGCAATTTCCCTTCGAATTTCCCACTTAGGGGGAGTTCTTTTTTTATAAAGACTGATTTTTAAACTTTTAACTGCTTTTATATGTTAATCTGAAGCAATTTCCTTACATGGAAAATATTATAAAGCCAATTAAAATCATCCAAAAACCACACTTTCGAACACATGCCTGACCCATTTAGCTAATTTCCCTCACACCTCGCTTAACGGCATCGAATTAATTGAGAAATTTATGAGACGACGGCTATCAAACAAATTTGCAAATCCAAATATGCAAATATTGTCGGCGCTTCAAAACGAAAGTCGAGCAGAAAGCCAAGCCAAGTGGAATTTATTGCAAACTGAATCGGACCGAAACGAGCTAAAAAACTTAAGAAAACGACCGCTTGCTGAGCATTTGTCATGTGGACCAAGCTTTTTGGTTTTTGATTTTTGGATTCGAATTCGGATTCGGTTTTGGTTTTGGTTTCGGTTCTCGCTTAATATTTCATAAGCCTGTTTTCGTTTTGTCCTTTGCATGGGTCTCTGAATGTTTGCTGCCGCCTGCCACTGCTCCTCTTGCCGCTAAAAATTCCTCTGCAATTTCAGTTTTTGTTCAAATACCATGCTGAAAGATTTATCGTCTTGTTGGGAGCTGCATTCTTTGTTCTCCGATTTTTGCCCCTCTGTTTTTTAGTCGTTTTTTGCTTCGATTTGTTCGTGTTGTTTCTGTGTGCCTTAATGAATTGCTTTTTAATTTGATTTGACTAATAAAATATACCCCCTTGTTGCATCCGTTGCAGGTTCACAGTTCCGGCAGCTTTGAGTTGCGACTGAAGTACTTCAGCAACGATCATGGGCGGGACAACGAGGGACGCTGCTGCAGCGGGGAGTCTGATAGCGCGACGGGCAAGTGCCTTGGCAGCTGCAAGACGCGGTTTCGCGTCTGCCTGAAGCACTACCAGGCCACCATCGATACCACATCGCCGTGCACCTACGGGGACGTGGTGACGCCCATTCTCGGCGAGAACTCGGTCAACCTGACCGATGCCCAGCGCTTCCAGAACAAGGGCTTCACGAACCCCATCCAATTCCCCTTCTCCTTCTCATGGCCGGTAAGTAAAGGACTATAGAATATAGAATATAATATAGAATATGTAACTTGACTTAACAATAGATAACTTTTGATATATTCAAAGTCTTTAAAAAGTCATAAAATAACCATGGAATAGATCTATTGCCCTCTAGAACTACCATAAAAATTAAGGGCTCATCCAAACACTTTTCGCTGTCACTGTGCCTCTGTAAATGCCCTGTATACGGGATTGCTTTTATATTTAGATTTGCCCTGCGACGACGACGCCAGTCACTCATTCAGTCAGTCAATAAAATTTTCCAAGTTGTCTCTTCTTCTGGCGCTGCGCGTAGTTTTCTTTTTTTTGCCTGAAAACTTATTCGTGCGGCATCTTCGCTAATTTGTTTGGGCTTTTTATAGTACGAGTGTATAGCCATTGAATGCTCCCGCGGGAGAACAGCAACTCCCCTGATATTCCGCATTCATTTTATTTCCGCCGAGCGTCCTTGTCGAGGGTTGTTGGCTGTGGCGCACACGCCGCACCAAACATCTGTCGACTATTAAAAATGCGCTGAAAACGCGTGCGCGAACCGCACCACGGCGCACCACCACCATATTCAGCACCACCACCACTAGCGATCCGTTCGTATTAAGAACTCAAAGAGCGACAATTTCCAGATCGCTGCAACACAAGGTTATAACCCACCCTTAGGCTCCTGAAGTTGCCGTTACTTTTTGCCCAGCGCTTTTCCGGTTTAATATCTGGGGAAAAGTATGTAGTTTGTAGTTTTTGAAATCAAAAGAATTTATAATTTTCTTCTTTATGGAAACTTTCTTAGCTTTGTTTTTTGTTGAATATTTATATTAATAGTCTTTACAACTTTAAATTTTTATAGCTTTTATATGGTGGTAGTTCTTGTTAGGGTTGTTCACCGATCCAGGGAAGTCACCTTTTCTGGTGATTTATTTTTTTGGGCTCATACACCCCTTTTTCTTATTTTATATAACCCTCTCTAAAGCGCACGTGGGCTCAATAAATTGCTGAAGTTTTGAAATACCGCCACAGACGCTCTCGTCTTTATTCTGTTCAGCTCGACTGGCCAAGAAAAATATGTACGACTTGGCCGGTATGCCGTGCATTTCTTAATTATTATTACGACAAGAGGTTGAGCAGCACTCGGTCTAGATGATGGGTCCACCCTAGAAACGAAGAAGTTACTCAAGCTTCAAGGTATTTTTATGCCAGCAGCAATAACTGGAGTTTGTAACGTATTTTTGTGTCAGTGCGCCCGCAGTTTTAAGGGGTGTTTTTATTATTTACCTAGTAAGTAATGCTCTATCTCGATCCCTCTTATTTTCCCCATAAAATATATATATATATATAGACACTTTACTTCCTAATTGTTTAGAGCTGCGCATGTGCAGCGTCACTACTATTATCATCATTACACACAGACATGTAGTTCTCAAGTGTGCAAAGTCATGGTCCGAAAGAAAAGGGGGAGGATAGTATGTAACGGGGAGGAGGAGGGCTATTACCAACATCGGACCCAGGTAGCGAAAGATCTTTGGCACGTGAAATGTGTAAGCTGCATAAATTTTTAGCGGTTAAACTGCGGGCAGGCATAAATAAACAATTAGCCAACTGTGGGTTAGCATAATAAAGGCAAAATGGGGAGTCTTCAAAAGCACGCGCCAAATTGTTGATCTTAGGTCTAAGTTAAATGTGTTTAAAAAGGGAAATTTCCATTCCCTATTGCCTGTTTTATTTTAAGACCCTTTGGAAAGTTCTTTCGTTTTGTCATCGAAGTATTTTTAGTGGGACACCAGCAATTCTGTTTGTTTTCCCATCTAAATTTAGTTTTCTATTTGGGCTTCTAACACATTCTAGACTTTATTTCGGTCTGTTTCCGCGCACTTTCAACTTCAAAATATTTCTAGGTCAAACTATAAATTTAATTATAGTATGACTCCCGTCTGCTGCAGTCGCTTCTGCATCAACTAATTTAATGTTGCACTTAATTAAAACAACGAAAGACGAGCCACGCATGCCTGACGACACGCCAGAAGATATAGCAACCCATCTTCTTGTTGCAATTGTAAGTTGGGGGGCTGGGTGCATTGCCACACCCCCTTTTACCGCCCTCCACCCAAAAGATACTAAAAATAGTCAAGCAATGGCAGGGCAGCATTCATGCTCCTCTTGTTCGTATTGAACTTTGCTACTTTTGTCCCCCGTCAGACAGTCTTGTCTTGTGTCTTGTGTCTTCTGTCTTCGATGTTGAGTCTTCGGGCTGGGTCTTCTGAGAGTCAGAGTCCCCCTGTGGCTGTTGCTGTTGCTACGTGTCTGGCTACCACTCCTACTCCTGCCGCATTGCACTTCACCCTATCCAGATCCCTATGCTATATATGCTATATATGCTGGATATTGACGTTGATATACAGCACCGACGCACGCGATATTCACTAAGCGGCCGCTGATGCATGTTGCCTCATTTATTTTTGGATCTGGCATACGCCAGTGCACGAGTATCTATAGGTACTTGCACTTTATGTGCCTTTACAGAAGGTGGAAAATGAGAATTTCCCTTTAATTTTTATGAAATTTTATCAATTGGAAGCTCTGAAGAAGGAACCCTTTGCACCAAGTTAAAATCCCCGATATAGGTCCCATAAATTGGATTTATAAAAATTTCCCACAATGGGAAATTTTATGCAGAAGGCCAGCCATCACGTAGCCACTGTTGAAAAGTTTATTTCTCTGGACAATAAAACCAATAAACCATCGCAGCGCTTCATTTCATTTTAGCCATTCGTTTGTTATTACCTTTCCTGCTCATTTCCCATTGTGCCCGCCGCTGGTTAAAGCTGATCATCTATGTCTGATTTGCTTCCTGTCGTGCCCATATAAATTTTACGTTTATTTGCAGCGACAAATAGAAGAGATTCGCAATTTCAATGTCTGACTGTGGCACAAACGCAAACACAAACACAAACACACCAAAATGGCAATGCAATCGTTATGCAATCAATCGGCAACTGCCGCTTATCAACCAAATTAATTCTACATCTCCGGTTGTCCCCATAGGCCCACGCAAAATCGAAAGTTGGTCGAAAAATTAGTCATTTACAAGCGAATCGAAACTCGGAGTTTGGAGTTTGAAGTTTGAAGCTGAAAAGGCTTCGTGGCTCTACGCAATCCACACGCCCATGGAAAACAGGTGTCTCTGCAAAAGTTTCCATAGGCTGGTTTTTTTGCCTTGCTTTGGATTTGGATTCAGATTCAGAGAATCGGATTTTGTGTCATCTCTGCCGGTTTTTCCAGCAGCAGCGCTGCTTGTTGCATTCGAAATCAAGAGTGAATTGAGGGCGCTGCCTGCCGGTTGCATTCGAAGTTGCATATTGCCGATTTGCATTTGAAATGCATTCGCATTGCATTAGATTCGGTGGCAAGCTGCGGGGCTTATACTCATGTGGGCGGCCAACTTGCTTAGCCGCCTGTCATAATCTCTTTATAATGAGCGCTCACTGTGGAGGCGGTGGCGATGGCGATGGTGGTGGAAGAGCTCTTCCCATTAGCTTGTCTAAATTAGTTATAGCCGATAAGTTGTAGATGGTATATTAGTGCCCGTCATTTCCCGTTTGGATGTGAACTTTCTTTAACAATTTCCTTTTCTGTTTTTTACAGGGCACCTTCTCGCTGATCGTCGAGGCCTGGCATGATACGAACAACAGCGCCAATGCTCGCACCAACAGTAAGTAAAAGTTATAATATATATAGAGTATATAAGTTTATCAAATTGTGAAATTACTTCCTTGAAACATGGCCGAATAAAGTTATGAGCTCATCATCCTGCTTCCTGCTTCTGCTGATCGAAAGCTGTCAAAAAAGAGCGTTGAGCGATCGCACAACCTGCAATTTGATACTCTGCCAGGCTCTAGCTTTTGCTCCTCTTCTCGCTCAGTGTAAGATTTCCGGGGTATTGAGTGGTTTTAAATAACCAACATACACATACACATTCGGGGGATAATCGAGGGCCAGACTTTGTCGCCTTTTGTTGTCTGCCTGTTTGGAACGGAAGTGTGCTCGAAGTTGAGGTTTGCCCATCCCTCATTTGCTTAAAATGCAATTAAGCTCGGGCTCACGAACTAAAACTGCTGCGCTAGTCCAAGGCGATGCCAATTGTTTCGATCGGAGAACCCAACGAGATCCCAAAAGAGATCGTGTGTAATCCATCTTGGAAACAATGCTACATGGATCTCGGTGTAGTAACTGATTGTCTTCCAGCGATAAGGACCACACAAGGATCTAGTCAGCTACAAAAAAAAAAAAAAAATCCTTGACAAAGCCAGAAGATTTTTCTTTTTTTTAAACCGAAAAATGAAATTCTTCAATTTAAAAAAAAAACACTTTTCTGTGGGTGATTTTCCCACAGAATTTGTTTGATGAAAGAGCTAAGGAGAAGGAGAAGAGCTACCTGCTTGTGGCTTAGCTACCTGCACTTTCTTCTGCCCCGAGATTTATGAAGTTTTCATAGGAATTTCTAGCATGTTATTCTCTTTGTTTTTCGTCTCAATCTGGCCCTTCTTTTTCAATCCCTTCCTTTCTTCTTTTTTTTTTTTTTTAGACTTTTCTATATTTAGCTTGGCCTATTCCTTGAAGGAATTTTAATTGTTTGTGGTTGGGGGAGCTCCTTAACCGATTTTCACTCGGTTTCCCGCTGTGCCGCCTTGGCTAATTTCCAAGGCGGTCCCAGGCTAATAGATCTTTATCGGTACAAGTATCGTTGCTATACGTCGCACTGTCTGAGCCCCGAACCCCTCCCTTGGCAATTGCAATTTCAATTTCTGCACACCGAGATTTCCTAGTCTCGCCGCTTGTCAAGGATTAATTTCATTATTTAAAAGTATGCAACATAGTTTTTTTTCTCCTTGCCTCTTTATTTAGCCACACTCAATGACGATCTCCCGCATACTTCAACTTGCATAGCAAGTTTACGCCGCGCAGCATTTTGCCAACGAGTTTAGCTCTTTTTTGTTATATTCATTTAACATAAATTACATAAAGCAGGAGGAGGAAGGGGGAGCGGTTGCTGTGGCATGGGCAACGCACATGACGACCTTTTCGCCAGGTTTCTTCGCCCAGAGCCTGAGGCCAGAGCAAAACGGCCAAGAGCCCAAGGAACCGGACCTGCTGGGCAAAAAGAATCTGAATCCCAGTTCGAAGGCGAAAGGCACTGTGAAAAAACTAAAAATCTAAAGCCCTACATTAGCATATTAAATTAGTTTTGGTTATAATAATTTTCGGTTTTTAGATATGATAACCGTGGCAAATATATTTTCGAAAATCCTGTTTATCCTTTTTAGTATTTTATCCTTAAAAAATATACACTTTTTGTGCTGTGTAAAAGGCATTGCAAGGTGATTCTCTGGGCCTCTTGGCTTGATGATGCGTTCAGAAATCTTTCAACTCATGGCTCTCAAGGAGATTTTCGCCGGACTTTAGCTGGCTGGCTGGTTGGCTGGCTCTTCGGTTTCCTCACCTATCCCTACCTACCAATTAATCTCTGCCAATGCCAAAGTTGTTAGTTGCACGTTGTTGGGGCCGCTGCTGCTGCCGCTGCTTGGCCGCTGCTCTCCTGGTTCGATGTTGTTAAAATGCTTATCTTTTAATTTTAACTCATTGGATCAAGAAGCGGCAGCCCGGCAACAAGAGCCCAACTTCTCTTGGCTTCCTTCGATCTTTTCTGTCTGTCTGTCTGTCTGCCACAAAACTTGTCGTTGTTGTTTTCGTTTTTGTTGTCGTCGTGTGTCTTGATAAAATGGTATTTTCGAAAAAATTCCTCAAGTCCAAGTCAGCGATACTTTGGGGAGGCGGATGCTGTTGCAAATATAAAGAAAAAATTGTATATAGAAGCAGGGGGTGACGGGGAGGCAATGGAGTCAGAGTCAAGTTTGGATTTCTTGTTGCAAATTTGTTGCACACAAATTTCACTCATTTGTTGAGTGCAGCAAATGGGTTGACAAAGCGGTTGCATGAACGAGGGGAGAGACTTTCAAATTATTAACTTTTGAGTCAAGTAGCTAAATTTTCATTAAAGATATTTCTATAAATATTCAGTTATGATTAATTAACTCTCTAGAGAGAAGGAGATAAATAAATTTCCCGAATAGATCTTAGCATTTCCGCGATTTGCAGTCACTTTTACCAGCAAGTTGCGAGAGTCGTTGTCACACGCCGCTTTTCCTCTTTTCCAAGCACACACAGATAATTATGAAAATGCAACTTTGCGTAAATATTTTCACAAAATTTTGCCTGATATATTTTATTGCACGTTTTTCCAAAACTGGCCAAACTGGCCACAAAAATTGTGCGTCTCTTGCCGGCTTGTCTAATAACCTGTCATGCCACAAATCCTATGGGCTTTATCGTGTGTGTCGTGTGTTGCCGCTGCCGATGTGTGTTGCAAATGTAAATAAAACCACAATATACAATTCAATTCTTGTTGCTGTTGCTTTTGGGAATGTTGTTGGCTGGTGCGATTTTTGCATTGAATGCTTTTCCATGTTGTCGGCCCCGTTAGCGTCGGCAGGTGAAGTACAAACACACACACTCACACGCGCGACTTTTTGGCCAAAAACAACGAAAAATTGCCAACGGCTAGAGCCAAGAGCTAGTGGCTCGAGCAACTGGCTAAGAATTCTTGTTGCCGCATTGTGAGTTGTGCATATTTTTGGTAATTAATTAGTGAGTTTTTCGGAGTTGCCGAATTTTTTATTTAATATTTTTATTGGCCAACCAGTTGGGCTGCTTGTCACAGGACTAGCTCCATATGTGTGCTTGTCTAATATATATATGGCTTTGACAATATGGTTTTTGATACATTTGGGCAAATATTTTTGCCTATTGCTTAATAGTGGAAGATTGGAGTTGGTTTTCTTGGGCTAACCTGCTCATAATTTCACTTTCACTGATCTATTTCTTGAGGGGATACTTAAATGGGGGTCGCGCTTGTTCTTTTAGGCTCTTAGTTTCTACAGTTTTCTATTCGATTTTCTAACTTTACTTTGAGCCAGCTTTGGCTTTGTCTTTATCTTAGCTTTGGCTTTGGCTTACAGCTCAGCATTAACTCTGGCTTTAGCTTAGCTCTATGCAATTCGAATAGTCATGCACCTGCAATTTACTTTATAGACCATGGCATAATGTGGCTGCACATGTATCTGTATCTGCATCGTTGCCAGTATCTGCATCTGTGTAGAAAATGTGTCTGTAGAGATAGCCATACGGAGACGCATACAAACGAGTTGCCATCCCAAAGTCGAGACCGGTCGGTGAACAGCTGAAAAATGCCTCGACGAGCTTGGCTGGCGGTCTGCCTGCTGCCTTTTATTTTGTTGTTGTTGTTGTTGTATTTTAGCCATGCCCCGTGTCTGTCTGCCAGTTTTGCCTCTCTCTCATCGCCAAATACCAAGTACGGCTCCGTACCCTTACCAAACTGCATACCTCGGCTTGAGCACTTGACTCTGTGACAAGCAATTGCATTTCGGGGCTTTTCAAGTTGCTTCGTTTCGTTTGATTTCGATTTTTGGTTTTTCTGTTTTTCAGTTTTTCCATTTCCCATTTACTGCATTCCAAACAGAGGTTTTTCTCATTTTTTTCATCTTTCTTGCCTTGAGCGCCATCTCATCGGATCATCTTTAACCCAATTAATCTTCATTAGTCTATCGCCGGTCTCAACTTGTTCTCACACACTTATCATGGTCTCAATCTATTTTACTCTACTTGCAGATCTTCTCATCCAGCGTCTGTTGGTGCAGCAGGTACTGGAGGTGTCCTCCGATTGGAAGACCAACAAGTCGGAGTCGCAGTACACGTCGCTGGAGTACGATTTCCGTGTCACCTGTGATGCCAACTACTACGGATCCGGCTGTGCCAAGTTCTGTAGGCCGCGCGACGATGCATTCGGGCATTCCACATGCTCCGAGACGGGCGAAATTATCTGTTTGACCGGATGGCAGGGCGATTACTGTCACAAACGTAAGTACAAAATGGTTTTCTAAATAATATACTAGGTGTGGGAGGGGATCTTCTATAGAAGGTTGAGCAAAGCTTATGCTTAAAGGTCAAGGAATGGATAGAAAACTGTCAGGTTTCTGGCTAAACTGTACTAATAATCATTTCATCATTTGTTGAAACATTCACAAAAGCTTAACCCAGAGATATACACTTTGGATATCTAAGATATCCACACGGATCAATAGCCTCCCAATCCCACTCCAATTCCCATTCTTTTACGCCGAAAACACTTGGCCCGCTCGCTCTGTTTGTTTTTGCTTCTGCCGATCTCGCGGCTTCAAGTGGCTCAAAACTGAAGTTTATTTTTCCTTCTTTTTTTTTGGCCTGCCAGCTCTCATTATTATTGAAAATCACTTGCTTGTCAAATCAAATGAGATGATTGTACACAAAGCCCGAAAACGACTGCTGCTGGCCCAAAACGAATTAAAGTATAATTATTTTCGAATGCGTACGGCGATGAATTGACAAAAATCAAAATCGAAACTACAAAAATTTGAATACTGAAAATGGCCATCAAGTGGTGGTGGTGGGGGAAAAACAAATCAAAGTCAAACAAATAAATTAAAAATCAATGAAGTTCGGGAAACGAAAGAAAAAACGATAAACAAAATGCAAGATGTGGGGAAAAGTCATTTGTCATTGGAAAGAACAAAACGTCTAACGAACTGCCGAGAGCAGAAATTCGGTTGGCCCTTTGTAGTTCGTTTGGTTGGTAGTCGTTTGTTGTTAGCTACCTTTACTTTACCAACATTTTAAACTGTGAATCAGAGCAGACACACCATACCATACCATACCATACCATACCATTTCATACCATGCCCATCATGATGACCATAATGATCATGATGATGAGGAGCAGGGCATACAAAAATCTTCCCACGCCAAGTGCAAGGGCCCGGGTTTTTGGACCAAAAAGGTGTGGTGTGCCGGTGTATCTGTATCTGTATCTGTATCTGTGTGTCTGCGTAAGGGGTCCACCACTCGCACACCAAGATATATACATATACAGATGATGATCAAGGCTTTGAGTTTGAGTTTGGGTTGGTTTGGTTCATCGTCTGCATGCCGAGCATTTCTGAGGACCCGAGAAGAGTCGACCCAAGAACAAACTTCCTTTAGGGCTGTTGTTGTGGCAACGTCTGATTACACCTTAAATGTCGTAGTCTCCTGAAGACGGGCTTCTTCGGTTCGATTCTTCTCTGTCTTCTTGTCTCTTCTCGTTTTTATTTTTTTTTTTTTTTTTTTTTGTATTTCTTCTGCTGCCTTTTTTTCGGGGCAGATAATTTTTGTGTCCTGCTGCCGGTTTAGCAAGTTGCCAGCGGAAGAGGCAGCTGCTCCTGCTTGCTATATTTTATTTTCAACTTAAATGCGCAAAAATGAGCTTAAATTAAGGCACACACTCGCACTCACACACACACATGTGCGAAAATTATTTTCCAGCAGCAGAAGCAGCAGCAAATAAAAAGCCGAAACGTGCAGGCTGCAAAAACAAAACATCCGAAACTGAGTAAATTGGCCCAAAAGGTTCTGTTTTTTTTTTTGGTCAGTTTTTTGTTCATCCCTTTTGTTTCTTTTGGCCAAGTGCGTATACTCGTATATGAATGAAGTTAATTTCAAGGAAATGAGCTATTTTGGCAAAAGTTCATGAATGACGGGCAGCTGGCGGCTTGGTTTAGTGGGTGCTAAAAAGATACATCTGCAAGATGTTTTTCGAAAAGTTGTTTCCTGAGAACCCTTAATCAAAAGTGAAAGTAAGCGGAAGAGTCGTTATATATCATCAAATCATTCGATTAGTGAGGATTATCTCTACCCCAAAGGCGTGTGAACTTATTTTTCACTTTCATGAAAATCTATTTCAAGCCAGCCACCGTCGATGGTAATAAAAATCATTGGCAATTGCCAATATTACGCTTTTTCTCTATAGATTTATATATATATATATATATATAAAAGGGGGCAGAGCAGCAGCTCTCCCCCTCCCTTCGGTTGAGAACACGTTTTTGTGATTTTCTAGCAATTTTCCTGATGCTGCCGCCGCCACCGCCGCCGATGCCGCTTGCTTCTGAATGAATCTCACTTGGTTTAAAGAGGAGCATCATCATCTTCGGCGGCTGCTCCTTCCACGTTCTGGGCTCCTTTTGGCATTGCCTTTTTTAGTTTTGTTCACGACTTTTACCCCTTCTCTAGGCCCTTGTGGCAACTCCCCAACTTCCTGCCTTCTGCCGCTGCCTCGGCTGTTGCTGCTGCTGCTGCTGCTGCTGCCGCTGATGCTTCTCTCGCCGGCCGAAACATGTTTGCCACATTCTTCAGAGAGATCCCAACTCCAACTCCCAGCAACAGCCCAGCTTCCAATCGAAGTTTTCGTCGAACCTTTTGAGCTTGGGAATCTGTTTTCTGTTTTGGGCCACGGCCTCCGCCTCAGCTGCTCAGGCTCTGGCTGCTTCTTCTTCTCCTGGCCATGGGATTATTTCATTTTGTGTGTTTCCTTTTTGGCCTTAGAAACAAGTTATTCCTGCTTGGCTTAAAACACTCACACACTGCCGAATGCCGAGAGTTTGAGAGCCACTGGCCATGATTCATTTTTTATAGTTTTCAGTTTTTTTTTTTTTTTTTTTTTTTTTTTCATTTTTAGTCTGTGCTAAAACGTTTTAAACGTTTTCCTATTGTTTATCGAGCGAACGGCTTTTGTTTCATTTCCCAGAGAGACATCTTTTATTTTGTTTTTTTCATTGCCAGACGCGTGAAAAAGAAAGTTTTTTCGGCACTTCTGCCTCGGAATTGCCTCAATTTGATGGATCTCGATGTCGGTGAGTGGGTTGGCTTAGCTCTCGACGAGTGGGTGTCCCCCGGGTTTATGTTTCTGTTTTCAGTCGGACAGGTGGGGAGTCCATTTCAAAGCCATTTAAGTTTATTTTCGGGAAAGTGTTTTCTTCTACCCCCACCAACCGTATTATTTACATTTCAATTAATTTATATTTAAATTTTCCCTCTCTCTTCTTTTTTATTTGCAGCCAAATGCGCCAAAGGCTGTGAGCACGGACACTGCGAGAAACCCAACCAATGCGTGTAAGTATTTTATTCGATCGTCTTAGCCTGATTAGGCCTTTGTTAACAAGTGTTGACGTATCTGTAAGATGTCAGGAAATCAAGATCGTTAAAGTTAATTCAGATTGATTATTAAAATATTTCGAAAAGTTTTATTTTGGGTAGAAAACTTCGAACGTCTTCCAAACAAAAAATGTTTTTTAATTAAGCCAACCCTGTTGCCAACTGCAACTAACGGCTTAGTTTCGGCTTCAGTTTAATGATGATTCTTGTCCTCCTAGTATTTGCACGTTTTATTTGTTTGTGTTTGTTGTTTGTTTTGTTTTGTTTTTTTCTTGCCCACCCAGTAAAAAGCAACTAGAAGAAGAAAAACGGCAACAACTATCATGATGGGGCACACCTTTTCAATGTAATGCTGAATGTTTGACTGCTACCGTGAGCTTTGCGAAAAGGGCAGAAAACACTTTGCTGCTCTTTTATTTTATTTTTTGTATTTTTTATTATTTCTATTTTTTGTTTTTGTTTTTGCTTGGATTTTAATGCACGTTTTTTTATTCATTCCGCTGGCTGGCTCGTTTGTTGGCTCGTTCGGCGACCGCAGAAATTCTTTCGGTTCGGCGCGATGTCATTTGATTTGGCCGGGGTTTTGCATTACAATTTTGAAGCGAAGAAGTAAAAGCCAGGCGGAGGAGGGTCCAAATTAAATTACAAGTACCGAAGTTTTCCCACATTTTTGCCCATCAAGGTGTAAGTGAACACTTCTGACGACGCTGGCAAATATTTTCAGATATTTCCAGCATACAATTTCAACCAAAGAAAATACAAAAAACAGCTGCACGAGAATATAAAGTTCAATAAATGGGCTAGACTATATGGTTTTTACATAACTTTAGTGCCAATGTTGGTTGTTTGCCACATCAATAGCGATCTGCCAAATTGATTTTCAAACGTTGATTAGAGGATGTTGGTCATTATTTATGCATTATGTTGGCCAATAAATATCTCTCCACTGCCAAGGCGGAAATCAAACATTTTGTGGTCCGTCGATAATTGTGCCAAATAAAAAAGAGCACTAAAATCAACACATCATTCTCTAGATTGGAGTTGAAGTTGAAGTTGAAGTAAAGTGATTGCTGGAACTGTTTTGGTGAATCGAATTGTTAGCTGGAAACCGCAGATACGCCCGGGTATACGTGCCACTTAGCCAAGTTTGTTTGATGGTGGGAATATTTTAATAATTCTAAGCGCATACAGTACACATTTGCTAGTTGGCAACGCCGCTTCGGTTACTTTTTTGACATTTCTTTGTGTACACACTGGCTGACGCATATCAATTACTACTCGTCGTCTCCCCAAGTCTGTCCATTGTCCGTTTGTCTTTTACTTGTCTCTCCAACTCGAACGCGACCGCTTCTACCAACTCCCCGCCCTCTCCTTCAACAGGTTAGCTGTCTTGGTTTGAATTATTAACTATTGAAATCTTTGTGGGTGAAGGCTTTTTTCGCCACACAGTTGGCAACACTTGCATCTGGCCAGTGCGTGCATGAGCGTGCGTGCCTGCGTTATTTGTTGCAGAGGAAACACTGTTTTCCTTTTTTTTTTTTTTTTTTTGTTGGTTTTGGTTTTTGGCTTGAAATCAATTTATGATCGTGAGAAATGCAAAAATTTGTTAGCCCGCACTCACACTCTCTCTCTTTCTGTCTTTCGGTTTCTTCTTCACTTTCAAGTGTGCGGATATGACTTCTTGCAGGGAGGAGACAGATTCGTTTTATTTCAATTGCGAACGAGACTTTTTCAAGTTGACAAGCCATCTTCCTTTCCCTGTCTCTCATTTATCTTGTTTGCTCTTTTCTTGCCCATCTTTTTGCCTCTTTTTCGACTGCAATCAAGCGTGGCATGCAAACAAGTGTAAGTGGGGGAGGGAGCGGGAGGGATGCAGAGATGCGTGGAACAGGTGATGGAGCACCAGCCTTCCGTCCTGCTCGCTCGCATTTAAAAGTCAAAAGTAAACCAGCGCTTGCGGCGCTTCAATAAGCAGAGTCAAAGATCTTGAAGTGTGTTTGTGGATATCTTTTAGCCTTTTGAGAAAGAAATGAAAACAGCTTTTTGACTTTTTAGAATGTATTTAGCAAGGGAATGAGATTAAAGTTAACGTTACTCGTATAGAAGCAGGGTCTCACTTATTAAATCCACCCATCTACGGTCACACTAACCACCCCCATTTACCATTCTCTCTCTATTTACAGTTGCCAACTGGGCTGGAAGGGAGCTTTGTGCAACGAGTGCGTTATCGAACCAAACTGCATCCATGGTACCTGCAACAAACCTTGGACTTGCATCTGCAACGAGGGATGGGGTGGCCTGTACTGCAACCAGGATTTGAAACTACTGCACCAACCATCGACCCTGCAAGAATGGCGGAACCTGTTTCAATACCGGCGAATCCCTGTACACCTGCAAATGCGCTCCCGGATTCAGTGGCGATGATTGCGAAACTGAGATTTACTCCTGCGATGCCGATGTAAATCCTTGCCAGAATGGTGGAACCTGCATCGATGAGCCACCAACGAAAACGGGCTACAAGTGTCATTGTCCCAACGGCTGGAGTGGGAAGATGTGCGAAGAGAAAGTACTGACCTGTGCTGATAAACCCTGCCATCAGGGCATCTGTCGGAATGTTCGTCCCGGTTTGGGAAGCAAGAATCAGGGTTACCAGTGCGAATGTCCCATTGGCTACAGTGGACCAACGTGTGAACTCCAACTGGATAACTGCAGTCCGAATCCTTGCATTAATGGAGGAAGCTGTCAACCGAATGGAAAGTGCATTTGCCCAGCGGGATTTACGGGAATTAACTGCGAGACGAACGTTGACGATTGCCTGGGTCACAAGTGCGAGAATGGAGGCACCTGCATAGACATGGTCAACCAATATCGGTGTCAATGTGTTCCCGGATTCCATGGCACTCACTGCAGCAGCAAAGTCGACCTATGCCTTATCAGACCGTGCGCCAATGGAGGAACCTGCCTGAATCTCAAAAACGATTACCAATGCACATGCAAGGCTGGATTCACTGGCAAGGACTGTTCCGTGGACATCGACGAGTGCAGCAGTACACCCTGCCATAATGGTGGAACCTGCATGAACCGCGTCAACTCCTTCGAATGTGTGTGCGCCAACGGTTTCAGGGGCAAGCAGTGCGATGAGGAATCTTACGACTCGGTGACCTTCGATGCCCACCAATATGGAGCCACCACCCAAGCAAGAGCCGATGGATTGACCAATGCCCAGGTGGTGCTCATTGCTGTCTTCTCAGTTGCCATGCCTTTGGTGGCGGTTATTGCGGCCTGTGTGGTGTTCTGCATGAAGCGAAAGCGTAAGCGTGCCCAGGAAAAGGATGATGCGGAAGCCAGGAAGCAGAATGAACAGAATGCGGTGGCCACAATGCATCACAATGGCAGCGGTGTGGGCGTAGCACTGGCTTCAGCCTCTCTGGGCGGTAAAACCGGCAGCAACAGCGGACTCACCTTCGATGGAGGCAATCCTAATATAATCAAAAACACCTGGGACAAGTCGGTCAACAACATTTGCGCCTCAGCAGCAGCGGCAGCGGCGGCGGCAGCAGCGGCCGACGAGTGCCTCATGTACGGCGGATATGTGGCCTCTGTGGCGGATAACAACAATGCCAACTCTGACTTTTGTGTGGCTCCACTGCAAAGAGCCAAGTCGCAGAAGCAACTTAACACCGATCCCACGCTCATGCACCGCAGTTCACCGGCAGGCGGCAGCTCCTCCAAGGGAGCGACAGGCGGTGCACCGGGAGCGGCGGAGGGCAAGAGGATCTCGGTTTTGGGTGAGGGATCCTACTGCAGCCAGCGTTGGCCTTCGTTGGCAGCGGCGGGTGTGGCGGGAGCCTGTTCATCTCAACTGATGGCCGCCGCTTCGGCAGCGGGTAGTGGAGCGGGGACGGCGCAACAGCAGCGATCCGTGGTCTGCGGCACTCCGCATATGTAACTCCAGACATCCGGAGGGGATCCAGGGAAATCCGGAGAAATCCGCATGAAGGAGCTAACAGCACACACACAAAGAAAAGACTGGGTTGGGTTCGAAATGTGAGAGAGACGCCAAAATGTTGTTGTTGATTGAAGCAGTTTAGTCGCCACGAAAAGAAAACATGAAAAATTTGTAACAGGCATAACTCGTAAACACCCTATAAAAATTTGTATAGTAATTGGCAGAGCTGTGTCCCAAATGCTTCGATCGATTTGAGAATATTAATGGTTTCCTAGTTGGAACATTTTTTATAGATTTTACAAATGGCAATCCCAGGAAGTATATGAATTTTGAATCGAAATTTTAAAAAAATATTACAAAATATAAAAGATAATCCGTAAAACTCGATCGTTACAGCAAATGAGGGACAGCTATTGCACTCTGATTATTCCAATGGACTGACCTAAGCATAAAGTTGTATACCATAAAGTCAACCATTCAAAATTGAAAACCTTTTGTTTCTGACACCCCCTTTAAAAAGCCCTTAAAAAAGAAAAGAAAAATAACTTGACCAATTGCTTGCTAGAATTTAGACCAAGACCAAGACCAAGAACCACTGGACGACAGAGTCGAAGAAAGGACTCTCCACACGTTTTGACGTTTTGCATGTTACTGAAAAATCTGCTTCAATTTAATCTATTTTTTCACTTAGTTCGATATAAATTGTAAATATTAATGGTAGCCGTATTAGCCTACACAGTAAATGTAAACTAATGATAGAAACGATGATTGAAAAGAAAAAAAACCTCCTCATTGACGCCGCCCGAACTTGGGGGCTGCTTTTCTATGCAAGGCAGTCGGCCAAATCGGGCGATTTGTATATAGTAATCATAGGTCACATCGATATACGACATGGATAAGAGAAAAAGATGAAAAGCCACACAAAAAAACTACATAAATTGACACTATCTCGACTATTTAGTTTCTAACTATGTATATGTAAATGTAGCGAACGAAGGGAAGAAAAAACTAAACTTAACTCGACTCTAGCTTAATGTTAATTTAAAAGACCCCACAAACAAACAAACAAACATGCGAAGACAAGCAAAACATTTAGTGATTCTATTTTAAGTACTTCTAATTTACCACCACCCTATCAACCAATTATATATTTTTTTTTCGATTTTTAAACTTATTATTTTAATCTTTATTTTTTAATTTTGTCCATCTATTATATTTTTTTGGCCTATTCCGATTTGGAGCATTTATCAGCGATGAAGTCAATAATATTTGTAGTTAGCGCCTAACTGTAAACGAAATGTATTGAATTTATAAATTGTAAGACGAAAAGCAAACAAATTTTGATGAAAACAAAAACAAAAACTGAATTCGAACAAACAAAAACAAAAACAAAAAAAAAATAGTTACAAAACGATAAGCAAAAAAGTGAATGAAATATACAAACAATATATATACAAACACAAACAAATGAAATTCGTGTTTTTTCAAAGTCTCCAAATAGTCTTATTATTATTATCTTTTTGTTGTTAATGCAAAAAAAAGGTTTAAACAATTTAATTTTGATCTCAAAACCGAAGACAAAACCAGACAATGTGCAGCACGAAAGACGCAAAAACTGTTTGCGAAATTCCAAAACGTCAAAATTAAATCAACAAAACTACAGTTAAATTGCAAATGGTTCCTCGTTAGTGTAAAGAAATGAAAACTAGTTGTAAAAGTGCTAAACGAAGAAAGAAAAAGGAAAAACTGTGCAGCTACTTATCTGATAAATCCTACACAGTATATGTATTTTTATACGTTTGCTAACGCAGCTCTCTCATCCGATTTTTGTACATAAAGTTATCCGATCCTGCTCATACGGGGATATAAGCTTTTACAGCCTATAGCCACGCCCGCACACATATATTTTTTATAAATATCTAATTTTTAAATAGTCGTTTTTAGTAATTTATATTTTTATTGCAAATGAAAAACCGAAAAAAAAGAAAACAAAAAAAATTAGAGAAACACTCGACAGAAAATTGTAAAAAGTTAATAAGAGAAGACCCTAAAACAAACAAACAAACAAATATTTATACCAGAAGAAAACACAAAAATGAAAAAACCATAAAAATAGTAGTTACTTGCATACAATTGTAATTTAGTGTTGTACTTACGATTTAGTCTAAACAATTTTATGAAATTTTTTAGTAATTAAACGAATGAATTCAAAAACGAAGCAAACAAAAAAGACACAAAAAAACGAACAAACAAAAATGCAAAAAAAAAAAAAATATGAAAAAAAAATAAAAAATTTTTATGAATGAATTATAAATCCAAAATGTTTTCTTATTTGAAAAAAAGTAAATGTGGGAATGGGGGGAAATTATATCTAAAGTACTCTGTACTTCACTTCGTGACGATTGTTTCTGACAACTTAAAAGCAAATCAAAAACGGATTAATCAGCCTGAGTGTGCCATTTTCCTCCAACAAATGATAGCTTATGTACAAGTTCATCTAAAGAAAATCAAGGAAAGCTGTCTGGCAGCAAATTAAGGAATTCATTTTGGCGTCGAAATGCTATTTTAATTGCCGTTTCATACCGCAAAAGTGCAACACCATAGACAAACAATAATCAACAAAGAAAGAAAGCCAAGTATTTACAGCCAAGTTGCAGAGCGGGAAAGCAACAAAATTAAGCGGAATATGTAAAGCCAGAAAACATCAAAGTTGTATATTCTGTTGTCTACGCTGTCTTTTCCCTGTTTCTTTTTTGTTGGAGGCTGTCGAAGTACAGTGGACCCCATCAGATGAAAATTGGATGGTGTTTCTTTGATTTTCAAAGATATCTTTAGTATTCGTACTTCTATCTTCCTACATAATTGGGTTTGTATCGAAGTTGTAATTACTATCTTAAACAATATTGCAATATTTATTTATCAAAAATATAATATATTTTTTGAGGTTTTTGGAAAAGCTATTTAATATAATAAAAACTTCATTTCTGCCTGGAAACAAAATACTGTAAAATAAAGGGAGGTCTGTTTAAAAATGTCGAATATAAATTCCCCTTAAACGTTATATTACAGCGTTGACACTTGGCACCACTTTACAAACTTAGTGCCACTTGCGGCCTCAAAACCCATTCAAAATTGGTAAGAATATAATATGTATAAGATACAACCACTGTGCTGCATCTCCTAGAAATTACAACAAATCACACGCCATACTTAAGGCACCACAGAGTGGAGAGCGGAGCTACAGAGCTCAGAGCCAGAGCTAGAGAGCATTAACAATAAATTCTCGCATGCCATTGTGAAATTCTCACAATAATCATAAATAATAGTTTATTTCTACTTTTTAAACGGCCTGGCCGAGAGTCTGTTAATGAAGTTGCCAGCCCGCCGAGTGCGTATCTGTCTGATTTACTAACTGAGCGGCGGTACTAAAGGAGAAATAAGCAACGAGACGGCGTCCAGGTCGAGATTCAGTCGCTGATGCTGCCTAATTAAGCAACTCTGCACGGCGAAAAAAGACGAAAATTTATAGAAAACATCCTGCTAGATGATGCTAGATCTAATCGGAAATAATATAAAGAACAGAAGTTCTTGGATTTTAGGATTCTTGTATGTAGGATAAGTTGAGGCTTAAAATAAAGATTTAAAATATTAAAAATAATTTGAGTTGATATAAAAATATAGTTTTTTTATCTTTAAAACTGCAAAAGTCTTTCCTTTAGACCTTAAGATCAACATTAAAAATTGGCAAAAATCTCAAGAAAATAGTTTCTGTCTTAATCTTACTTCAAGATTTAAAACCCAAAAACAAGGTCAGGGAAATGAAAAGATTTCCCTGCATTAGAAACAGTTTTTTACTGGAGTGTAAACTTTGCATTTAAACTGGCGAGTCATTAAGCCAGCAGGAGGGGAAATGGAGCCCAGGGTGCGATGCAATGGGAGACGGTCGTTGCGGCGTATCGGTTACCAAGACAATTGCGGCAAAGATGCATCGGAACTACGATCTCAAGGGGTTAAACCATTAAAATGCACTAAGACAATATTTTGTTAGGTCGGTCGGTCGTCGGACACTTGGGGTCCAAACAGACCATCTCCACCATCATCAATGATCGTCCACTTTGTTTGTTTATCAAGTTGGTTTACTCTAGATTTTGTCATTTCATCTTGGCCCGTGTGGAGATGGCCATAAGTGGTGATCTCAACTCAGTCTCTTTTTTTTTCGTTTTTTTTTTTTGGCACCTAATTGTGTTTACGTTAACCCCTTGCTCCACACCAAATTAACCCATTGAGGAGGCATTTCAATTATGTTTGGATAAACATAAGCAATGGACACAACATTCGTTGACAGTAATATTGCCCCAAAACCTCACTAAAAAAAACAAAATGAAGTGTCTCCCAGACCCAGAGCCAGACTCATTCCACATTTATGCTTTTGTCTGAGCGCGTTGAAAATTGTTTGGCTCAATTCTCATAAAACGATATAAAACCAAAGTATGGAAAAAAAAAGATCAACAACTCAGTGTTCTTGTTCTCATTCTTGTTGTTCTGCGTCTCTGTCACTCCGGTTTAAAAATGTTTTATTTGGATTTTTTGTTTTGTATTTTTGTCTGTTTCTGTGTTGTTTTGTTGTTTTTTGTTTTATTCGAATCCATCGTGCATTCATTGTCTTGCACTAATCGCCATAAAAGATCTCGCTTTTCATCTCTTCTCGTGACGCTGCGTTGTTGATCTTGAAAATCTGCTGTAAAAAAAGAGAAGCCAAAACAACAGAGCACAAATCTCAGCTCCGATTCGAAAACTAAAAAATAGTAGACGAGGCTGCTTGTGGATTTGAATGGTCTCTTGGCCATCTCATGATCAGAAATTGTAGCTATGTACTACTTGTTTGAAGAAGGGTTTTATTCGGGGATATATATAGATCTTGCACTGTGAGAAAATGCCGAAATGGAAAAGTTAAAAGTTAAGGTTTATTAAAACTATTTGCTGTTTTCACTCACTTATGTGAGATTTTTCCTAACATTTTATACTCCTATTTCACACTTCCCGATAATAAAACTCATATAAAACCTTAAAAAATATTACACGCCAATCTTTAATCCCATTTATCTGATTTTTAATGGGCCTTATAATATCTCTTAAACATCAAGATATCTTCCAGTGCATCCTACTCAGATTTCAATATCTTCCACAGGCCGATTCCCAGCCCCTGGCATAAGTGATCCATAATTTAATGAGCTTCATTCATCCATTCATTCATGCAGCGCGACTGAGTGAGAACTAGAGAAACAAAACTCCTTTTCTCGGGACGGCAAAAAAAAAATAATAATAATAAAAATAAAAGACAGAGGAAGACGAAGCCAGCGGATAAAAAAGGAGAAAAAAGGTCATCTTATCATAAATAAACTGACATAAAATCAAGAATCAAATTCAAAAGCGAAGACAAGAAATCCGTGGCAACCGAAAAGTACATTGTAGGGAATTACACAATAAATGAAATGCAGGCAGGCCCTCGGAGATCTCTCAGTCTCAGTCTTTGGATTTGGATACTGAAAAGCCAGAGGAGAGGGGAAGTACAAAACTGACAATGATTCACTGTGGAATTTTATGAGCTGAGAACATTTTGAGCCATCGCAACTGAAGAAGCCAAGAAAGCCTATAGCCTATATGAACTTTATCTATTTTGTGGACTATGCAAATGAAATCGATAAAGTCTTTGAGTAAACGTTTACAGATGCAACCGATCGATAGAAAAGGCCAGCTCAGCTGCAGCTAATAGAGTGTGAAGCTGCTGAGAAGTCTAATCTGGCCATAGATCAATGACTCTTCGTTTCAGGTAGCGCCCCAAAGATGCTTGGCCAATAAATTTCTACTAAACGGACAGCGGACAAAACGTTCGACTTAATTTCCAACTGTTTATAATTTATTTTCACTAAAAAAAACAAAATATAAACCAAAAGAACAGGCCAGATAAGAAGGAATCTCCGGCCGTTGCGCTTGCTTGTCGCTGCATAATTTGTCGACTTGTAGATACATTTGTAAATTTGTATCTGTTGCTCGAGTTCGTTTGAATTTCAGCTTTTTTTTCGGAGCGCCATCGTGTGTGTCTCTTTGCTTCTCTTTTTCCTTATTTTTTTTTTTTTTTAACTTTTTATTAATGATGTGGGAACTTCTGTTCGGCGCTGAGAGCTGAACGTTGATTTCTTGGGGTCTGCATTAAATTTCATTAATTATGAAAAATCTTTTCATTAATATCGCTTTCGTTGTTTCGCTTTCTTGGCCCATGTGAACGTCAGGCATTAATTGCCTTTTCTTCGGTAATTATCGTCTCATTGGAATCAATTAATGTGGAAATGTTAAAAAACGAAATCTGAAATCTATTGACATTGGCAATTAGACTCGACGCACACTCTTCTCCATCATAATTAACATCTTGTTGAGATGGTGAGAACAATGATACTGATGATGATATATCTTACAGGCTATAACTTTAAGGTGCAAATAGTTAGCCAGACTTTAGAATGCCATCTCAACACAAGTTCTCACCATTTAATTAGTATGCATTTCCATTATTTATCTTTCAGCCAAGACATTCTTGACTTGTTTCTTCTTTATTCCCCAACTCATTGGGCTTTTGTAACTGTTGGGCGCGTTCTCAGCCATGTTTTTGTAGGTTTTACGATCGCTTTTTTACAACTGAAAGAATGCATTTGAGTTGGCTTGGCACTTCCACAAACTATTGTAATACATCAATATGATTATGAGGCCTGCAGTCGGAGTCGTTGCTGCCTTCACATCTTTTATACATTTGTGGCATGTGTGTTGATTTATTTGAGATTCGTTTCTGTTCTCCCTTTTGCCTTTCTGTTTGTCAAAGGCAAACAAACCGAAAAACCGTTCTGTTTGTGTATGATCAGTGATCATTCTGGCCAAGTTTTGAGATCTGGCTGCTTAATTTTTGAGTTCCTTCACAGAGTGTTAACTTGTGTCTCGGTCTCTTCACTTTACCCATAACTCATCAATATTTGATTACTGATCTTGCCTTCCGACATTCACTATTTTGTTTACTTACATGTTTTTGACGAAGGTTTTTTTGTGGGTCAGACAATCTAAGAAGTAAGTCTTATAACGGATATTAAGTTAGTGATTTAAATGATTTCAGGTCATCCTTTTGGAGTTAATCTTATATAACACTATGTGCGCTAATAAGTATGCAATATAAAGTCAGGGTCTAAAAAAGTTCTTGGAAAATGAGGTGTTCGAAGTTAGATGACAGAAATGACCTTTTAAAGTGGTGATATTGGCATAACTTACTAATGGGATGGATATGGGGAGATTAAACTATATATTAGTAAGAACTATTCCTTTTACTAAATTAAAGTATTCCCATTTTAATATATAAGTAAAGGCCTTTTATTTTTGGATATTTTAAAGTTTTCTACAAAATATCATGATGTACATAGTTCAATATTTTGAATTTTTTGATTAGAAATAAAACTTTGGCAATATAGACACAACTAACAATTATCTTTACAGGTCATATCCACTTAATATTCTTTTTTCCAAAAGGTTAAAAAAAACAAACCAAACCTGTAAATGTAGCACAAGTAAGCTTATACCTCATGATCGTTTTTCATTCGATTTAGGACTGGACGGCACTTTCCATCGCCCTAATTGCCTTTCCCACACCCATTCTAAGTTTCCCATTACCCAGCCACCAAGCCACATTTTCACATTCACAAAATGGAAACCGAGCACAAAAAAATTTGAGCTCCAATTGACAAAATCACGATTCATCGAACAACGGCGACGACAACTTAACTTTACACACATTCGCAGCTCCAAGCCAAAAGACTCCTCCTGCAATCCGCCAAAACCAAAAGAAAATACGGTGAAAAAAAGGAATGTTCTGGGAATGGACGGAGGGGTGGAAAAATGTTTGGCAATTGGATGTTGGCGGCAACTTTTAGGCCTTTGGGGCGTCTGCGTTGGCTGATGGAAGGAAGCTGGCCGGGCTACCAAGGAGTTGCATTGTCAGCTAAGCGATCTGCAATAGGACTACACTTAGAACTTCTTTAAGGGGAGTTCTTATCATATTTGTTAATATTATTTTATGAAGATTAATATTATATATATTTAATGAAGAGATATACGAGTATAGTTAATTTTTCCTAAAAAACTTTTTCTTCTTTATGAACTATAATCATATCCATTCATGAGAAAATATGTTCAAATAATTAAGAATGCTTTTCAAAACTGTGTTTAGTTTTTATTCTAACTATTTTTAAGGTTTTGCAAAGTTTTTTTTTTCTAATTTTCAAAGGGTTTTCTTTATAGGGTTTGCTTTATAATTTTGTTAAGTGTATTGATCCTCCCTCCGCCCAGTTACTCGCTCCTCCTGGCTTTTCCCCCATTTAACTGACAACTTTGAATGCGGACAAAAGAACCCGAAAGAGCCACAATTACGGTACTCGGCGTCATTTGCTGTTGTTGCCATTTTGTTCTGTGTTTTGTTGGCTGGTTTTTCAGTTCTCTTTCTTTTTGGCTTTTTGGAAAACTGTCCAAACATTGTCGGAAATTTGTTAACTTTAATTTCTATTGCCAGGCGGACAGCGAAGCTTGGCTGGGCCGAGGAAAACGGTACCAGCGCGCCGAAAGTTGCGGGTGTTGGTTGTATTTTCCCATTGTCGGCCTGTCGAAATTATGACAATCCTGGCAATAGGTTTTAACCATTTACTCGACGGCTGCCAATTCGTGAATTGTTGTAAATTTGTTTCTCAATTTGCTGGTTGCCCAGCTAAAGGAGATTATTTCTGTGCCGCCATAAAGTTTGATTTATTCCCATCTCATTAACATTCGTTGGATTCCCAACAACTCTCTTATGACAATGATAAGGCCAAGAATTTACCATAAACGGAAGCTCGGTGCTGGAGTCTGGCATTTAAGTGGCATTTCTGAAATGTTCAAACAAATATTGAAACAGAAACTATTTAGTTTTTTTGTAGCTAAAAGAACGAGCTGAGCTTTCTCAGGCATCGGAAACTAGTTCTGCCGATCGGATCACACACAAATCAATTTAACGATGCACTAGCCCAGTTCCAGTTTGAGTTCGCGTTCGTTCGACTTCTCAACGATTGGGGGTTTCATTCAGTTTGTATCGCAGTCACAGTCGAAGTCTCAGTTAAAGTCTCAGTCACAGGGAGCGGTGAAAATGGGGACTCGGAGCGGAGTTGACGACTTGTCGTCGTCGGCATTGCAGCGACGACTTGGACTTCCTGTTGTCGCGTCATTATTGTCCATCATCATTTCCATTCGTAATGAGGCTAAGGCTACTAAAACGAAGTTGATCTTTAGTTCATTTAGATGCCGCCGCAGACTCCCAGCAAAAAGTAATGGCGGGGGCTGTTCTAGTGGAGAGAGACTCCTCCGATCAGCTGTGGATCACTTAACCGCTTGTGACAATTCCCCGTGTTGCTAGTACATACGTATCTATCTGGTAGGCCCCATGCCATCCCAGATCCAGCATCAAGCAAACCCAAACCGGCCATAATGTATGCGACCCTCTGGCCAGATCGGGATCCACATCCAGCGGGCTGGGCCATGTGTACAACATTTACTATGTTCGCTGACATTCTTCGCGTAATTCTTCAATTTCAATAGCATACTCCGCTAATTCCAAAGCTTCAACTTTAGCTTTGGCCAACTGCCTCGATGGAGTCGCTAAAACTAGCTGGAAAAGCCTGAGAATAGCGGCTTAAATAGGAAGAAGACGTTGTAAAAATATTTTATTAAAAGTTGTAACTTTTTACGATATAGATAGGTGGGGAATTCTATAGTAACATAGGTGATAAAAGACTATTTAGTAGGTAGGTCAAAGTCATTTAAGTGTGTTTAAAAATAAGGTAAAATTATCAATAGTAATAGGTAGTAAACCTGAAGATTCTTAAATATTTTAGGATTCGATTCCGAAAACAAAGATTTTTACAAGAAATCTATTACTTCCCTTAGAGTTTTCCGAAAATGGTAAAAATTAACAAAATCTTTAGGTACATTTTTATATTTTCTTTTAATCTTCCCTCTAAAATCCTTTACAAACCTTAGCCATATTCTCATCTCTGTATAGCTACCGATGTCGTTTGTCTTTTGTTCGTTTCGTTTAGTTTTCCTTTTTGCGGGCACAATTGTCGCGACATTTTTCTAGGTAAACCTCACGAATTGGCGACACGCTTCTTCTTGGCAGCTCTCGGGGCCAACCTGCTGATGATGCTGCTGATGCTGCGTGAGGTGAGCTGTGACCAGACCAGACTGGTCTTGCTCTTGGTCTTGGTCCTGGTTCTGGCCCCCCAGCTCTAGACCAGGTTTATAGCTCAACTTGGCATTGCTATTTGCTATTTACTATTTGCTGTTCAGAGAGTGAACAGCAGCAACAGCAGCAGCAGATAAAAGTGTTTATCATGTTTGCAATTATATGCTAAAATTGTAATTGCAAATGTTTGCCTAAGCCGTTGAGGGCTTTTCCATTTAGCGCAGATAGACATTCAGCAGCTTCGCTTTGAAGTGTCTCGTTGTTTAAATGGATTGCTTAAACGGTTCTACCGAAGATATTCCCCTCTTAGCTGAGAACCGGATGCGAGAGAGTAAGAGTTGATTTTTTTATATTTCTATTTCTTTCAGTCTTCCCAGGTTCAACAAGGAAGTTGCATTGACTTTCAAGTTGCAAGTCAAGTTGAAAATTGGTGGATAATTGATTGCGCATCTTTCTTCGGACACTGAAATATCTTGAAACTTATTAATGCTGAAATTCCAAAAGTGGGAAAAACTTTTGAATGGAAAAATAATTCGTTACTATTCTATGGCGGGATTTATTGATTTTTGTGCTTTCTATTAATAAAATTTACTAAGTAGTTGGCAATGCCTTTTAGTCTCCCATTCTATTCAATTCATAAAATAAGTAAAGGCCTTCTAGAAGTAAATAACACAAATTGTACGCAATAAAGACATATACTGTTAAAAGAGTACTTAAAAAGCCCAAAACTTTCAACAACTAAAGTGTTTAATAGAGTGTTTTACTGTAGCCCCAAACACTAGATCATTAACTCTGCAATGTCTGTTCTGCTTATATGACATAGAATTCTAAAAGCATCATCAAACTGATTAATTTGTTTGCCATTAAACATAAATATTCTCCTTCCCATAAACGTGGTAAATTGCTTTTGACAGAAAGCTAGTTATGTGATGGCTCTTTGTAATTTCTCTTTTGTGGCACTTTATGATCCAACTCAATTTCGCCCACCTGAATGCTGGGGCAGCCATATCCATGCATCATGCAAACATTGCCGGGCTATAAATTTCTTACCAACTGACCTCCGCTGGCATCAACACTCCATCAGAGTGAATAAGAGAGAGAGAGAGAGAGAGGCCCGGGCACTTAATGCCCACCCAAAAATGGCCATGGTTGATGACGACTCCGAAAAGAGTGAGTACAAGAGACCAAGATGACGACAACAACGACACCACATCAAGTGCCTGGGCGAGCGGCATATAATGGTGCATCCAAAGTGCAGCTAATTTAAGGAAACGCTCACTCAACGCGACACCAAAACGCATGCGCCGCCAAGATTGAAGCCGCAACTCTGGATGCCATCATCACTGTCGACGCTCCCTGCTGCTCCTCCAACTTCTTAGATCCCCAACCTTTCTCCTGGCCAAAAGCCTACACCAATATGGAGGCGTTTGCTGCACCGGCGCGTGACGTTCGGTGTCCACTTTTGGTTGTCAAGCAAATTACATATATGATTTTTATGTGACAAATGAGCTTAAGATGCTGTCGCTGATGGGGCAGTTCGGTTTGGTTTTGGCCCGGCTTGCTTTGCTTTTCGTTTAGTATTTTGTTGGCTTACAGGTCGTCTTACAGGTCTAGAGATGACAGCGTGATTGGCAAGAAGAGATTTTGGATTGCTTTATAAATTTTATTTTAATTTTACTACAAATTTTGATGTTTAATTTATGAATCGAGTAATCAAAATATCGACATATCGAAAATAGATAGATTTATTTTATTGCTGATATTTTCTAATGATTTAAATTGATAAATACTTAATTAATAGTTTAGATATAAACAATTTTAATGCCATTTTTGGTTAAAAGTAAATTTAAAATGAAAGGTTGACAAATGTATTAGTGCTTTGGGAAAAGCAAAGACACTTTAGCTTTACCTAAAAACTAATCATTATAAGATCAAATTTACCACCGAAATCAAAATTGAATTATCTACAATATCTCAATTTAGCCATTAAAACTTTCCAATTTTTCGACAAATTAAATTATGGCTAACTGCCATCACGTACTCCTCTCTAACTGACTTCTGGCATCCCGGAACTGGCTCTTACCACTTTGCTAGCCCAGACGAACCGACGCACTCACGCACCTCGGCACAGTGACACATATCGAAGATGTTTTTTGTGTGTTTTCTATTTCGTTTTATGATGGGTCGTCGTCCATCGATTTGCATATTAATGCTGGACATGTTTAGATACGCCCGCGCTTCTTGTTTCCGCCTTTTCTTAGCTTGGCTAAGTTTTGGTTATAGAGGGAAAAGTGAGAGTAAAGGTCTTGGCCTGGGGTCATCCAGCTGCAGTTTGATTTATGCCCCGACTAGTTTCACGGCAGATTGTTTACGATGTGTTAGGTTTTCGAGCCAAAAAGGTGTTTGGCCATTCCAAATTCCCTGTCCAAATTCCATCAAATGGTTTTCACTGCATTAAAATCGCTGAACAGACTGCGTGAGCGTATTTAAAGCATTCCAAAAGCCAAGACAAAACATTGTCATAAGACCCACCGGTGAAAAACTATAACGAGTTAGTGCAAAAAAAAAAAATGTTGATGCAATCGTTAAGTTTGGCAAATATGGTTAGGAGCTCTGATTTGCGGATTCTTTTAGCCAGTTTGCGAGCTGGGTGCTATGCGATGCAGTTGTGTTTCTCGAACATGATCCACTGGCTGAACTCCTGCTGAGCTTGTTTTAAGTTTTGGAATGGCCAGAATTTTGTTAGGCTTAATTAGAACACTGTTTTCATTTT